TGGCTTTGCTGTTATCTGTGCATCAGTGAACACTTTATCATGGTAACGCTTCAGGAATGTGCAGAATAGTTGAGGAGCTTGAATGCCACAGCAGTTTTAAGTCTGCTGGGCTCTTGTTACCAGCTCACTGGGTTGGTGGCTAGAAGACTGCTATAGCACATATGTTGCAGAACTGACGTTCATTACCAGGTCACTTTCAAAGTATTGGCTAACAAGGCTGTAGTTAGTTCATGTTTTTCTCCTTGAGTATATTGTCATTGCTACTGAGATATGCCACAGAAAATGCCTATATTTTTATTTTGGCTTCAGGCAGAACTATTAGATGTTTGCAAAGGAGTGCTTGAATTTAACTTTAAAAACTGGAGTACCATAGTGCAGTGCTTAATAAGCACCTGGGCTTTGGTATCACAGGCTTGGGTTTGAATCTAGGTCTTAATTTAGTAACTGTTAGACTTGGAGTCATTATCTTCACATCTGTGAACTTCAGTTTCCTAATGTGCAAAATGGGTAGAATAATACTTTTCCAGACTGTTGGAAGTTGCGTGTTATGTTAAAGGGGAAAATGCACACCATGCCCTTCGTATAATGAGAAGTAGGAAGAACGCAATAATTCTTCTCTGGTTTTATTTGCCCTGTTTATTCTACCTGTCCAAATGGACTGCAAATTTATTGAAAGAAGAAATCATAGCTTTTCTTGCTTTACATTCTCATGCCAAGAAGAATGCCAAGGACATAGCAGGCAGTCAATAAATATTTGTTAGTTCCTGTTGTTTCTTTTGAAATTATTCCACTTTCAAGCCAGTTACACAGAACAGTTCTTCTTTGGAGATGATCAGACTAAGACCTTCCTTTTTAATGTTTGTTGGAAAGTCATAGAATGTAAATAACACTGGAAGATTTTTTTAAAGTCTCTGTGTCTGGTAGGTTTTCTTAAAATTTTGATTCTATGCATTGTAAGGACTTTTGACAGTAGTAAAAAAAAAGTACTTGAATGCACATAGGCATAGAGTTCTTAAATCAACATTCATAGGTTTTGTCTTTCCAGTTAACATGAGCACTTCATGTATCTTGGTAATTTGTTTAAGGGACAATATGCACTTCTAGCCTATCTCTGTCTTTGCAGCTTCATAGTTATCAATAAGATCCTGAATGAAATTGAGCTATGCACCCACACAATCAACATTTTGACTGCAGTATCTGCAGGGTGCAGTAGAAGCAAGGAAGGGGGTTGGAGAGAGGACAACCTCCAGGGCCAAGATCTATAGCAGCCCTGTGGCTGCCACAATTCAGATGTTTCTTTTTTGTCATCACTCTAACTAGAAAGACTGTGTGAGATTCCAAGTCCATTTTTAGGCTTTTTGGAAGGACAAAAAAAGCATCCTTCATCAAATATTAATAAATGCTTATGACTGGTTCATATTTTTAATTCCCTAAGTTTCTTAACATACTAGGAGAAATGGCAGACACCATACCATTCAGCCTTCACGGAGAGCAATATGTGACATATTTTCTCTGTAGAATTGAACTAAATGTAGACTTGAACTAGTAACACTACCAATGACTTTGAAGAAAATCTAAACTTTGGGGGTTAACATTGAAAAGGAAAAGAGAAGGGATGGGTATTAGCTTTTAAAAACTTTTAATATAATTTAAAAAATTTTAAAATAGTCTTAGATTTACAGAAAGTTTGCGAAGATAGTGTAGAGGGTTCCCATAAGCCTTGCACCCAGTTATTTACTGTATTATTAGCATCTTACATTAACATGGTATGCTTGTCAAAATCACTGAGTCAATACTGATATGTTATTATTAACTACATTCCACATATTATTCAAATTTCCTTAAATTTTACCTCATGTACTTCTTCTGTTCCAACATCCCATCAGGCTCTCTATTTTTTTGAGATGGAGTTTCGCTCTTGTTGCACAGGTTGGAGTGCAATGGTATGATCCTGGCTCACTGCAATCTCCACTCCTGGGTTCAAGTGATTCTCCTGCTTCATCCTCCCTAGTAGCTGAGATTACAGGTGCCTGCCACCATGCCCAGCTTATATATATATATATATATACACACACACACACACACACACACACACATATATATATATATAAAGTGAAGATGGGGTTTCACCATGTTGGTCAGGCTGGTCTCGAACTCCTGACCTCAAGTGATCCACCTGCCTTGGCCTCCCAAAGTGCTGGGATTACAGGTGTGAGCCACCATGCCCAGCCCAGACTCTCATATTGATACTAACATTTGTGAAGAGCCGATTTAGTACCAGATGCATTTATGTCACCATTTCATTTAATTTTCATACATATTATTTAGGTAGGCATTATTTTCTCATTCTAAGAATGACACAACTGATATCAGAGAGGGTAATTGACTTTCTCAGAGTAACTCAGAACCCAGGAAACAGTGAAGCAATGATTCATATCCAAGCCATCTGGTTCCTATCCCATTTTTTTCCTACTCGTATCTTGCTATCTTTCTCACTTATAATACAATGATCAAATTTATATTTGAAACATGTATTGCACATATAGTGTTGCATTCACATTTTGGAAAGTAGTTATACAGGAGCTTCCTTACTTGCTTTAATGCAAGTAGAATTGTTTGTAAGACTTTCCATCTGATTTCTCACAGTCAGAGAGACTTACCTGAGCTGCAGAAATCTAAATTAGAGCTGCCAAAGAATAATTGGTCATTGAATGATAGATGACTTATTGCTATAATATGTTTAATAATGCCTTGTTTTCTTATTGAAGGTTCTATATTACAGAAGATGCATTTCAACTTCTATTTCACTCAGAGGTGATATAAAAGAATGTGAGCCATATTTTGAGTTGAGTCATATATTATTAGAGGTTTTTTGTCTATTTTATTCCGAGTTAACAAGGTTACTCACAAACAATTCACACCAGAAACAAAACATATGGTCATTGGAAAGGGAATTCATGGGATTTTTCACAATCTTTAGTTATTTACATCATACTTCATTACAATTCAGTTACATGAAATCCCCATTCTAGAGTTTCAACTCTTCTCAAATATACAATATCAGTTGTCCTTTGGTTGACAGGAAAATTGAGCTTTCAAAAATTTTGAATGTGCTGGAGAAAAAGGTAAAAAATAAACACAATAGGATAAACAGTCATTATTTTAAGCAGAATCTTTTTCTCTCACAACTGTGTTTCACCTGCTTAACAGTAATCATTAAAAGGATCTAAAAATAGTCCTATAGGAGCCAAAGGTTTCAATAACAGATTAGAATTACTGAATGGCCATTTCTTGTGGTTAATAACAGATCTATTGTGTTGACTTAAAACATAAAAGGGTGATTATTCCCAACAGATATTTTCTTGTTCACGTAAAACAGGAAAGTCTACAAAAAAAAAAAAAAATACTGACTGTTCTTGGTAAGTAGATTTTAATTTGTATCTACATAGTGTTCTTCTCACTTCATTAGGCTTAGAATTTGTGACTGAACAGCACTGTTTGGGTAGCCTGCTGCCTAGTCGGCGATGTCAGAAGCAATTACTTTCACAGATTTAAGATTTTGTTATCACACATATCCTGTCTTTAGTTATCTGAGTGGACAGCCCCATTAAGGACAATATGTATTTCATCATATCTTTCTCGTGTGATTTTAAAAACGGCTCAAGGATCATCCCCCTTTGCACAACAGGAATGCATCAGTTGGATGAATGGTTAAATGGAGTCATCCAAATTCAGAAATGTACTTCTTTTCCTAATTTCAATTTTTTTCTGTAGAATAAATGTAGAGTACATTTACCCGGTTTCTTTATTTTGGGCTCATAGTCCCTGGAGGAAGGGGATTGATATCTCCTTTTTTTTTTTTTTTTTAAGTTTATGGCAGAAACCTAGAAATCATTATAGATTTTAACTTGGCTTTCCTCATTCAATCAGAGACCAAATCTTGTGGACTTTCTTCTTTGACATGTATCATTTCACTATTTCTTAATAAGCTTCCACCCCTAGTTTAGTTTTTTTCTTGCCTGAGCTGTTACAATAGTGTTCTTATTTTTTTGCCTAATTCTTTGCTTCACATAGTCACTGCAAAGAAAGGGTTTGAGACATGCAGATTTGATCACAGTTTCCCTAATTTTCAACCTTCCAAGATTTCTTATTGCCTTCAGGCAAAAGTGCAAACTGTCTCCATGACCTCACTTTTCTAATGTCTTCTCCTGGGGGCATGTATACTCTGAAACATCAGGCTGTTTCACACTTGCTTCTACCAAGTCTGCATCTTATATTTTCTGGGTCTTTGTCTCTTGAAGAACAAACAAATACACCTCCTTTAGGACTCAATATCATGTCACATGCTTTCTGAGGATTTTCCTGACCCAATGGGACAAACATAACCACTCTTTTGTTCAACAACCTGTGCGTACCTCTTTCACGACCCTGTAATATATTATGATACAAATTGTCTACAGGTCTGTAGACTCCCTACAGATTTAGCTTTTCATATTTAAGACGTGAATCACGTGTTTTTTCTTTTTAGGCACACTGATGTTTGAGAATTCCTGATGGTCTTAAAGATCAATAAATGTGTGAGCCACTGTCACTGTGGCTAACCATGTGCTTGGCTTAGGGCAGATACACTCAAACTTATTGAATGTGAGAATTGCCCAGATGTTGGATGATATTCAAATTCTTGGAATGCATTCCCAGAAATTTTGATTCAAAAGCAATGAAGAGGGACCCAGAAATCCATTGCTTTTACAGGCACCCCAGGTACTTGTGACACAGATGTATGAGGAATAAACATTGAGAAACTGACTCTTCCAGTTATCTATTGTTGCGTAACAAACCACCCTCAGGGACATAAACAACCCACTTGGAGGAAATAGAAAACAACTGTTTATTATGCCCATGGACTCTGAAGTTCTGGAATTTGTACATGACGCAGGAATGACTTGGCTCTGCTCTATGATGTCTGGGGAAGGAGGGAGGCTCAGATGTTTGGGGGGTACTTGAATGGTTGAGGACTGGAATAGATGGGCTGTAGGATCTCTTGTGTTATAGTTTTCTTACTCACATCCTTGATTCTTGGGCTGGGATGAGTTAAAGACTGGGTTCAGCAGAGATGGTCAACAAGAGCACCTACATGTGACTTGGACTTCTCAGCATGGGAGCTGGGTTCTGAGAGGGAGCACCCCAAGAAAGTAAGCATGCCAAAAGAACTAGACAGAAGCTGCTTTGCGTTTTATGACTTGGCTTCACTTTGCTCAAACGGCTGAGGTGGTCTCAAGCCCACCCAGATTCAAGGTATGAGGCATATACCCCACCTCTCAATGGAAGGAGTTTCAAAAAAACGACAGCAATGTTTTAAAAGTGCCATTTTGAACTTTGATTTATCTGTGTGTGTGTATACTACTTGGAGGAAATAGAAGAACACATAGTATAAATACTACATATACTAAGTATTATATATACGTATACATACTAATCTGGTTTTCTCTACTGGATCTGTGAGCTGTTTGAAGATAAAGATGGTATCTTATTTAGTTTTGAGCCTTTGGGATCTGGTACAAGCCTTGGTGCTTAATATAAACCCAGTAAATACTTGTTGCTTTTAACTTATCTAAAGGTCAACAACCATAACCCTTCAATTACTGGTTATTATGGAGTATTATTGATCTAGGCACGCTTCTTCAGCAAGAAATTCTTTGCAAAAGACAGGGACTTGCCATATAAAAGTTGACTGAATAATTTTTTTTTTTTTTATTGCTACTTGAATCCTAGTTGTACTATTTTGTGACTGTGATTTTGGGTGAATTACTTAAATTCTCCATACTTCTATTTACTCTTACTTACCTCCGATGTGGGGAAAACAGTGGTATTTACTTCAGAGTTCTAGGGTAAGGAACAAATGAAATACATAAAGTTCTTAGATAAGGACAGGTAGTGGGGTTGAATAGAAAAGCCCCTCCTTGTGAAGATATTATCATTCTTACAATAGCCATTGATGACTACAGTTAATCAACTACTAATGTGAATAACAGCTAAATTACTTCAATATAACCCCATAAGCTTTATTTGTGTATGAAGGTATGCACATATATGTCGATATGTAAGTAGTTTTATAAAAGTATGCTTTTTAGTGAAGCATATTTATTCACCACATTATAAATCATAAGTGAACAGCTCAAAACATTCTTACAGTGAATATGTTTATGCAAACACTACGTAAATCAAGAAAAAGAAGCTTCTGTACCCCCAGAAACTTCCTTGTCATTCTACCAGTCTTACTTTATCAAGAATATCTACTCTTCTGACTTCCACGACTACATTTTTTTGGCCTAATTTTGAATTTTATATCCATGGAATAAGATAGTATGTAGTCTTTTGTGCCTGCCTTTTTTTGTTCAATATTATACTTGTGAGATTCATCCATGTTGTTGCACACAAGAGTATTTCTTTCATTTTCACTGTGGTGTAGTATTCTATTATTTGTACATTCCAACATTGACTAACATTTGGGTTATTTCCATTTTTGGCTACTATGAAGAATGCAGCTATGAACAGCCTTGTGTATATCTTTTGGCACTCATATGTATTCATCTCTTGTATATGTAGGGAGGAAAAAAATTTCTAAGTCATAGAGTAAGACGATTAGGTTTTCTGTTTTTCCTTGCTGTTCCGTTGGGGGGAAATGGTGTATATATACACACATACATATATCTGAGTATGTACGTACATATGTATCTGTCTAGATGATAATCTTTTGTTGAATATATTATATGTATTGCATATATCTTCTCCTTTTCTGTGGTTACGTTTTCATTAATCAAATAACTTTCAATGAATAGAAGTTCTTAATTTTAATAAAGTCCAATTTATCAATCTTTTCCTTTATATAATACTTAGTACTACTCATGTCATGTTTAAAAAAATTTGACTCACCCAAGATTATGAATATATCTTATGCTTAGTTCTAAAATATTTATTATTTTAAAATGAAATTTAGGTTTATAATTGCCCAGAATTGATTTTTGTCTACAGAATAATGACAATTAGACAATATAGACAATATAAAATATTTTCTATAGAGATTATTATTTAGTCTCATATGGGTAGAAAAACCAGCATCAATTTTTGAAAAGATTATCCTTTCTTCAAGTCCACTTCAGAGGCATCATTGCCATAATCAGCTCTGGTTTTAGACCATTTATTCTGATTCATGGGTTTAATGTCTATCCTTGTCCCAAGACCTGTTTACTGTCTTAATTACAGGAGTTTTATAATAAATCTCAATATATAGTAGCTTCAATTCTTCCATTTCTTTCTTTTTCAAGATCATCTTAGCTATCCTTGCTTCTTGCATTTTCATTAATTTTAGAATCAGCTTGTTGATTTACACACACACACACACACACACACACACACACAAATCCTACTAGGATTTTGGCTGAGTTTTTATTACCTGTATAAGTTAACTTGGGGAAAACTGACATTGTTACAATATTTAATGGTATCTCAAACAAGGTATATCCCTTCATTTATTTAAGATTTATTGATTTCCCTCAGTAATGCTATACTACTTGTAATGTAAAGACTTTTACATATTTCTATAGATTAATTTCTAAGTATTTGATGTTTTAATGCTATTGTAAATAGTATCAATTTAAAATTTCATTTTATAATTATGCTTGCTCATATATACAAATATTTTTTTATGTTGCATAACATCTGGCAGCCTGGTTAAAATCACGTAGTAATTTTAATAGTTTACTGTTGATTCTTTTGGATTTTCTAAATGCACAATCATATCACCATGAATAGTAATAATTTTTTAATCTTTCTTTTCAATCTATATAAATTTTATTCATTTTTCTCACTTTATTGTGTAGCTAGGAACCACAGTTACATAACTTACAAAATTTGGCAGTAGACATTCTTTTTCTTATTCTTATGCCCAAATCATACAATTCAATATTTAGCTAAGTACATTTGTTTTTTTTTTTGCATTAGGAATTTTGGAGACATACTTTATGAGATTAAGAGATACTGTATTCTATTCCTGATTTGCTGTATTTCTGTCTTGAACATGTTCAATTTTATCAATAGAATTGTGTCAGTTGAACTGGTCACATTTTTTTCTCCTTTATTCTGTTAGTGTGTGAACAACGTTGATTGATTTTTAAATACCTAAAAAAAATTGCATTCTGGAATAAAAACCTTGTAGTGACTTAGAAATCTTTTTATATATAGCTGGATTTGTTTGCCAGTATTTTGCTTCAGATTTTTTGCACCCATATTCATGAGAGAAATTGGCCTATAATTTTTCCTTTTTTAATGTCCTTGCCAGATGATGTTCAGGTTATGCAGAACTAATAAAACTAGTTGAGAAATATTCTCCTTTTTTTCTGTTTACTTCATGAGTTTGAGTAAGATTTTTTTTTTTTTCTTAAATGTTGGAAATAATTCTATGGTAAAGATATCCGCACCTTGAATTTTCTTTAAAGATTTTAAATTATGGATTTATGTTATTTAATAAACTACTCAGATTTTTCTCTTCCTTTTATGTGTCAGATTTGATAAACTGTGTATTTTAAAGGATTTAAAGTTTTTACCTAATTATTCAAATGTATGGACATTAAGTTGTCCATAATATCCTTGTTATTTTTAACGTCATTGAGGTACGTAATGGTGTTTTCCTTTTATTCCTGAAATTTGGTATTTAGTATCATCACTTTTTGTTTGCTTTTGGTTCAGTCCTGCTGAAGTTTATCTTTTTGATGAAATAACCTTGGGTATTATTGATTTTCTTTATTATAATTATACTTTGTTTTATATTTTTTTAATTTGTAGTTTTATCCTTATAGTTTCTTTATTCATACTTACTTTCTTTCTTTCTTTCTTTTTTTTTTTTTTGAGACGAAGTCTCGCTCTGTCGCCCAGGCTGGAGTGCAGTGGCGTGATCTCGGCTCACTGCAAGCTCCGCCCCCCGGGTTCACGCCATTCTCCTGCCTCAGCCTCACCACGCCTGGCTAATTTTTTGTATTTTTAGTAGAGATGGGGTTTCACCATGTTAGCCAGGATGGTCTCAATCTCCTGACCTCATGACCCGCCCACCTCGGCCTTCCAAAGTGCTGGGATTACAGGCATGAGCCACTGCGCCCGGCCTACTCATACTTTCTTTAGATTAAATTTGCTATTCTTTTTCTACTTTTTCAAATGAACACTTGGATCATGGATTGCTTGCCTTTCTTCTTTTCCAAGACGTGCCATTTATTGTTGTAAGTCTACAAGGACTGCTTTAGCTGCATCTCAGGTTTTGATATATTCCCTTTTCCTAATTATAATTCAATTCAAAGTATTTTCTAATTTCCTTTTTAATTGTTTTACATTATTTTAGAGAAGTATTGATGAATCTTAAAACATTATAAAATGTTTTAATTCTTCCTTTATTACTGATTCCTAGTTTAATTTTACTCCAGTCAGTAAATATACACTACTGTGTATAATTTATATCCTCTAAAATGTTTGGAGAGTTTTTAAATTTCACAGCATTTGGGCTGGACACTTTGGCAGATGTTCCATGTGGATTTGAAAAAAAAAGTATATTCTAGAATTGTTGGGAATAGAATTTTATATAGGTAAATTAGGCCAAGTTTGTTATTCAAAGCTTCTGTATCTCTTTTTTCTTCCTCTGTGTATTTATCTTGTTCTACCATGTACTAAAAGAGATATACTGAATTGTCCAAATATTTTGTGGATTTTTCTATTTTTTGTTTCTCATACTACTAATATTTGCTTCATGTATTTTGAACTTAAATGCATTTGGAATTATATCTTTTTGTTGGATTTAAAATTTTATTTTAATGACATGTCTCTCTTTATCTTTAGCAATTTTTTCCTTAAGGTATGCTTTGACTAGTAATAGTAATGTCAATTTTATTTTGGTCAATGTGTTCATGGTATTATTTTCATCTTTTTATATTCAATATTTTGTATGCTTATACTTAGAGTATGTCTTTTGTAAGTAGTGTACCATTGAGATTTTAAAGAAAATCTCTTCAGATAATCTTTGCATTTCAATTGTAGTTTTACGTTTGCTTACACTTTATGTAGTTTGATAAATTTGGGTTTAAAGGGTCATCTTTTTATTTCTAATTCATCTGTCCCATTTATATTTTTTCCCACTTTTCTTATTTTTTTGTACTAATCAACAATTTTCTGATTGTACTTCCCCCTCTATTCATTAGTTATTCTTATTTTAGTTATGCTTCTTAAATAATCACTTTAGTGGTTATCTTAGAAAG